GTTCAGCCGCGCCCCCAGCTCCGCCAGCCGCTCGGCAAACGCCTCCTCCAGGTCCGGGGCCGACAGCCGCCGCACCTCGTTGTCCACCCTGACGTTCAGCATCCTGTGTGCCTCCACAACCCTGTCAAGCGTCGTGCCTAGATCTCTGATCCGCTGGTCCAGGGCACTTCCCTCACCCTCCCTGCAGCAGCCGGACTCGTTTGATGGGATCTGAGTTCGGAGGGTATTTATTTCCTTCCTCAGATCGTTCTCTTTTCCTCTTGTAACGTCAGTTATTCCCACGCAGTTACTGTCCTTGTCGTCACACTGCTGCTGGATGTCCTGCAGTTTGTGTTCGCAGCAGTTCTTCAGATCTGCCATTTTCTTTTCAAACTCCTCCATTATTTCCTGCCTAAGGGACTCAAATTTTGAGTCTATATACTCCTGGTAGACATTGTCACTGGGCATTGTCAGCATGGGTCCTCGTGCTGCCTCCTGCAGTTGCTTTAATTGTCCTTCGTAGCCTTTAACTTTTCCATTCAGTTCCTCCAGCTGGTCATTCCTCATCCTCAAGGCTTCTTTCACCTCAGCTAGCTCAGACTTTATATCTTCCATTTCAAAATCAATGAAAGGGTCTTTTTGGTCCTTATTGCTGAGGAGCCCAGGGAGCCGAATAGTGTCTGTCTCACCCCCAACCGCACTGTCAGGCTCCGGGCGGTCGTAAAGGTTGTTCAGCCAAGTGACCAGCATCTTACTGGCATCTTCTTGGACAGTCAGCTTGAGGTTTTCATTCACACCTGCCACCGAGGACTGGAGCTCAAGCACTGACCGTGTCAGCCTGAACAATTCATCCTCAAGAAACTGCATTTTCTTCTCGTACGGTGGAGGTTCAGGCACTTCTGTGGGCTCTGCATCTGTGTCATGGAAACAACAGACAGTCTGGGTGTGAATCCTCCCAGTGGGGCCTGTGCTAATCAGCTGAGGCCATTTCACTGTTCTCTAAACCCAAATGTGATTTAAATTGCATAATGCTTGTTCCCTTTTCTAGTGTTGTTTTCAGAAGTTGATAATTAAAACATTATCAAAACACTCAAAATTAAGTTTTAGCAAAATGACCAATTCCTGCCAAGATACACTGGCAATAGAGTATTTATTTATTTATTAAGCAGCAGGCAGAGCAGTGCCTGCAAGCCAGAGCACACAGAACAGGCTGTACAGACCCACACACAGCACACCACAGTCCCTGGGGGCCACTGCACCTCCTGTGACAGCAACTGGGGAGCTGCTGCTCCCGAGTTCCCATGAAAACCTCAGTGCCAACAATGCAGCTGCCTGAAGTGGGCTTGTGCTCCAGTATTTTGCTGCACTGGGGTCCAAACCCAAACTGGATGGGCTTCTGCCAGATATTCCAGTTATACACCTGCTTCAAAAGTACCTCTTTGTCTGACACGTATTTGAGTCAGCAATAAAAATGTGTACAGAAGCATATGCTTTACACACCCAAAATCATTAGATTAAAGCAACACCAACACGGTCCTCACTGAATGAAAAAAAGTAAAGGCAGACTTTCAGCTGCAAACTACTTTTTACTCAGAACAAATCAATCAATGAACCTTAAGTTCATTTAAGTTACCTAAAGGTGTCACCACATTCTGCTGTCCCCTCTGGGAACTAGTATTTTAGGTGGGCTAACAGAATACTTTTCGAGCAGGTCTAAATCTGTAGGACTGGTTTGAAAGCCTGTGTCCAGCCCCATCCATCCCACTTCACAAACCCACCAGTGGGGATCTGACTAAGCCCTGGGCATGACACTGCCGTCCAGCCACGCTGGGAAAAGTCCCTCAGAAGCACACATCTGCTCAGCAGGTTTTGTTAAGGCAGAAAAGGCCTAAGAGTGCAGTGAGAGCATTCCTTCCTGCCCCTTCAGAAGACAGGGCCTTGCATGGCCCAGCATCATTCACTCCCTCAGGAGGTGTATCGTTCCCTTACTCCTAAGGCAGGCAGTGTGACATTCATCTGTAAAACCTGCACCAGGCCTTGAACAAACAACACTTTCTAACTGTTAGGGAGCATTACAGATCTCCAAAACTAGTACCTGTCCTTTTTTTTTGTTTTAATAATAGTTCCTCTGAAATACACCTTTTTTGCTGAACACTGAAGAAACTACAAAAACCCCTGTAAGTTCTTACAAAAGCCCCGACCTTACCACAAGGATTTTCCTGAACCATGAGTAGCCAGCTGGCACTTGCAGCCACCCCGCTGCTGTTCTTCAGGAAATTCTGAAGAATCAGGGCTGTTATGGCCTGGCTATTACTTTCCCACCACAGAGTGTCTTCCATATGGCTTTTGTACCTGCCAGGAGTCGAGTTTAATAGAAACCATAACGGTTCTCATACTTAAAAGACAAAACAAGGAACCAGACGTGATCGTGCCAACCAAAATTCAAGGAAAGGTTACCCAGGCCTTTCTTCACAACAGCTCTTGCTGGCGTGGTGGGACGGCGAGCGGCGTTTGGCTTTTCTGCTGGGCCCTCTCTGCAGTCCTCTCCTCTGTACCCGGGGCAGCATCTCCACTCCAGCTCCGTTACTGTCTTATAGGCAACCGTGTACCGGGGCCTGAAACTCGTTCGGTACCTGCCGGGACAGAAAGGGCTTTGAACGACCCGAAATCTAACCTGCTGCTGAGATGGGAGCTGAAATTAAAGCAGAGGGGGTTTAAATGAACATCAGTTACTTTCATCTATGACTCATCAAATGAACAAATGTTTATGTCTAGGTTTTAAAGGTACCTGCACTCAACACAGTGGCGTTAGGGAGAGCAAATGTGCCCACAGAGCAGGGGCTTTTGTGGAGGGGCAGAGGGGTGACGTGTGCCGGGAAGTGAAGGTTCAGCTCTCCAGACATTGCCAAGAGTACCAGTGACCAACAGTGCACCACTCCATACATCCAAACCCTTCTTCTCTAACTGCTTTTCACTGCAAACCCACCCACAGGGCTGCTCTGGCAGCAGCTCTTCTGGACATCAAAGAAATGTTCCTGCCTGCTTTGTCCCACTTGTCTTTCCAGTCTCCACTTAAACCATTGCTCAGAATCTGCCTGTGTGGGGAAGCCAAAGCTTGGAGGGGAGTTCCAGGGCAGGACAAAGCACTGAAAGCAGAGTCAGGCAAGGACAGGAAAGCAGGCAGAGGACAGGCTACAGCCCAGGAAGGAGTCAAGCCTTTTTCCCGCTTCACTGGTTCACCTGAAGAGGGTCTCGCGTGCAAGCCTGTGCACAGGTTACGTACACACAGCCTTCAGTCTCCCCAGTCAACCCCTCAGCAGCTGTACCTGGCAAAGGGGCCTGTTCCACCACAGCCCTGCCCCACAGCCCTGCCCCACAGCCCCCCGGGTGACGTGCACACGAGGCCCCCGCCAGGGCAGCAGCAGGGCCAGGCTGCTCCACACACCAAACCCACTGCAAGGGGGGCTCATTTCGGGTCCAGGGAGGAGGGAAGGGAGGGCTCCACAGGACCTCTGCACCAGACTGCTCCCAGCCTGGCCGGGCTCAGGGGAGAGTCTCTGGGGACAGGGAGAACGTGGTACAGAGGCAGCCACGTCACCACACAAAAATCAGCCCCATGGGTCATTGAACACTGTCTGGTATTAATATGCAAAATTCCTTATTGTGGAAAAATAGTCAGTAATGAACTACCAAATGGGAAGAGCTCTTAGACTGACTGTGGACCAGTCTCCACTGAAAGTCACAGAGTAAGAGCTGAACAGTTACTCTTCAAAGTTTCTCTCGCCCTGCCCGCAGATAACTGCTGAACTCATTCTGTATTTTTTTATTCAGCATCTTTCACCTGCACAGACATATTGTTAATGTAATGTCCCACCTCTGACAGGCATTTGCTGTCCCTTTTTGCTAAGCTGCTTATCAAGCTTGGGGCAGGGCGGCTAAAAGGTTAATTACTAATTATGAATTAGTTTCTTTTCCAGCCATCTCTTTCCAGTACTGCCACAATGCATTCCAGCATTTGCCCCTGGGGAAGTGCTCAGTGTTCTTTCACACCACGACTATCTACGGCCTGTCACTGAAGTGTCGAGGGTCCCTGGGGGCAGGGGCAGGCGGGGAGCTGCTGGGAGCTGCTGGGAGCTGCTGGGAGCTGCTGGGAGCTGCTGGGAGCTGCTGGGAGCTGCAGTGCTGTGCTCTGGCTGCCAGCCCACCAGGTCCTCATGGTGCTCAGCTCACAGCGGGCTTCCAGCCCTTCCTACCTTCACTCGTGGAACAGCTGCAGACCACACTCCAGCTCCTCGTCCCTTGTCCAGTTTTCCTGAACCATCTGTTCACAAATGTAGAGACATCCCCAAGGCCAAGTGCTTTACATCTAAACAGAGGATGCAGTGTGGAGGGCAGCAGGGGAAGGACAGCCTCCTGGCCACCCAGAACTGCCTTGTCCTTCCCCTGGTCTGCAGTGTTAACCACGTCTGGCTGGGTCCCTGGCTCCAGCCCTTCCTCCCAGCGAGCTGCCCGAGCCAGCACAGCCAGGGTTAGGGGATGCTCCTGCGTGCTGAGGGGTTTGAGCCTCCACCACCTCTCACAAGCACACCACTGAAACAAGCTCTGAGCTCCAGAGGGATTCCCACAGGCCGGGAACAGCCGCACGTACTTTCCTCTGATCTCCACAGAACACCTCACTGCTCCAGGCTTTGTGTGTGTTCCCCTCTGCACTGACAGGGCCAAGAGCCCTCCCGAAAATCGCAGGGTTTCGACTGGCTTCAAGCACCATCATGCCTCTCTGGTTCTTCCTGAGAACATAGCTGAAACTCATCTTGTGAAAGGAGTAACTACTACTTCTATGTGAACCGTGCACTTCTTTGCTCAAGTTACAGCATGAGACTGTTCCTCATGCTGTTCCTGCCACTCCTGTCATACTTTTGACAGGTTTCTCTGCACTCCTCTGTAGTCATGTTTGTCCATGCAGACAACTGCAGATGACTTCAACATTCAGACAAATCATAAGACACAACCAAACACACAAATGGAATATAAACAAACCAAAAGAAATCAAGCTTCATATTTTTCATGAGGGCAAATTATAAAACTTTTCTGAACGTTTTAAAAATAAAAAATAAGTCATTTGGCATCCCAACTTTTTTACTTCATAGTTTCATGACTCTAATAGGCAATAAATGTTTTTAATATGAATTAATACAAAAATTAGCTGACATGCAGAAGAATTATCCCATTCTAAATTATAAAACATAAACACTGTGCATCGACAGCTTCTAAAACACTCCTTCACTCACACCTTCCACCCTGAGCTGTGAATCATCACCCAGCTACCCGTGAGGCAGTATGGCCAAAAGGCTTCACAACAGTTCCAAAAGCCTCTTAAGGAATTGAGGCTCCACTTTAACGCCTGCCTATGCTGGAATGTAATTAAAACACAGTAAAACATTAAATCTTCCTGCAGCTGACTTGGATTTCTGCTGTTCACCTGAGTGTTGATAAAGACAATTATTTTTACAAGTGTCTTAAAGATATTAAAAGTAAAAAAATTCTTATGTGGTTAAGTTACACACAACCCACCAGCACGTCTTGTTCCTTGTCAGCCCCTCCTCTTGTGGACTTCCAGCCCAAGGTGATGGTCATGTCCTTGTGGTGATCTGAGCTAAATACTACAAATGAAATCATTCCCCTAGAAAGCTTGAACAAAGATTTCAAGAGTCTCTGATCTTTCCTCACAACAGGGAAAATGAGAGCAGCTGGGTTTTAGGAGTCTGTCCACAACAGGCTTATAACCACCAACTCCTACTACCTTAGCCATGGCTCCAACACGCTGATCAAACGAGAAGACACACTCAGAACACTCACACAAACCTCCACTCTTACAATATCTAACAATTCTGCAGCTGAAATGAAGTGTGGCAGTGGCATTCAAATGTTCCTCCTCTTTGGAGGGGAAGAATTTGCTTAGGAAAATGCTTAATTAAAAATCCATGTTGCTGCAAACACTAGACATTTTGACCAGGGACCGAGCTACAATTTTCTCATGGTGCTAAACCACAGAAGGAAGCAGTTAGCCCCAATATTTGGAATGTCACCTAATAGCAATAAAACAAATCAGAAACACTTGGACAAAAGTGGTGGGAAAGCATATGGCTCAGTTCTGTAACTAGATATTAGCATCCAACCTTTTGGGAAATGCTGGAGATAAGGGCCACCTCTTCCTCCTGGGGAGGAGCAGCACATGGCTCTGCATAGGCAGTGCACAGAATGTTTGTTCTGAGCACAAAACCTCAAGGTTGGTCCAAAATTCTGTACTCATTGGAACAGGTCCCATAGTTCAGCAGCCTGCAAATCACAGTCTGATTGACTAGAAGATAATGAGTCTTCACTACTTAACGCTTCTATTGTATGTAGAGTTCTAGTCTTTATAGATTATTATATAGAGTCTGCTCTTGCACCTCCTAGTCGTCCAAATCTCCACTATATGGCAATGGGAGTGCTGAAGGAGCACACAGACACTCCCCCAAGATGCTGCCTGGAAGATATCATTAAATACACTCGCATTTTGCCCAAACATTCTTTGTTTCACAGGCTGCAGAGGCTGCTGCTGACACCACACCTCAGCTGCACCACGGGGGCACCAGGGCAGCACCAGCTGACCCCAGGGCTCCCACTTCCCACGAGTACAGGCCCAGCTGGGACCCCTGCAATGGTGGCTGAAACCCCAGTTCCACTGGAATCACAGAGACTCCCAGCAACTGGCTGCAACGGGGAGTTCCAGCACACCCGGAGTTCAGGAGCCTCCCTCTCCCTCTCCTTTACCCTGAAGCTTCTGCAGCAGGAGGTGAGAAGATGCTGTGACAGAGCAGATGAGCTTGCAGCAGTGGAGGTGGTCACTGAGAGCAAACCATGGAGCAGGTGATAAATCCCAACTATACGGCGTGGCAAAAAACCTCTTTTAAAAGAATTCTAGTGAACACCAAAACAGTTTTTGATTTTGATCTGGCATTGGAGACACTGAAGTTGGTTCTTAGAGATGGACTCAAGTAACACTCAGCTTTCCACCACTACTCTCCTTTAGCCAGCATTTTTGCTTTCCAAAATGTATATAAAGAAGCTCAGTACATGTGTTTGCAGGTCTGGGGAATTACTTTGTCTTCAAAGAAACCACCACAGACTTTACCCACTAGCCCAATGCACAGCCCAGTCACAACCACCTCAGCTGGAGTTCCTGAAAGGCCACGGCTGGGTCTTTGTACAAGATTATAATCAAGCCCTAATAAAATTATCAACAGCAAGCAGAGAGCATTTAAAAATTGTTTGTGCTGGAAAAAGTAGTTTTGAGGCACCTCTGTGGAACACACAACATCACGACGACCTCCACCAGCAGGTATTACCAGGGAGGCTCAGCTTCTGCAGGCTCACACAGGCACCCAAGGGGGCTTTTACTGCACCCTGCACAGCCAACATCTGCACCAGGTCTGTTCTGGGCTAAATCCTGAATAAAACACTCCATAAGAGGGGCAGAAGATTACAGGGACTGGCAGAAGACAAAAATGCTCAATGCTTCTCAGCCAACACCACAGCATTTCACTTGTCACTCCACTCAAAATCTGCCAAAGAGCCATTGTTCATTATTTGC